TAGGAACCATATAATCTGTCTCTCGGAATTTTCTACTACAAATTATCGAATAACGAGAAAAAGAAAGCATACCAGGAGCTGTATTTATCGACTTGAACATGTATACGAGTGACTACCCAAATCAATTTCCTTAGGCTCATCTCCCGGGTTGCACCAAATCCATTGCCAGCAAGACCTGAGCTTGCCACATGATTCAGGGCTGTCTCCTGTTGTGCATGTTAATTAATTGCATTAGAACAACAAAAAACTGCACTCGTTCCCAGTAAGTACGGGGTAAGTTACAAGAATCATTCTTCATGAAAAACCAACCTGAAGGAGATTCATAAGTGTTTCCATTGTAGCAGTTTTATCTGGTCCAATTTCATAAGACCTTATAACAAAGGATTGTCTATAGACAAACCTGTCCTCGACAAACCTGCCAAGAAGGTATTCATGATTTGGCTCTTCTATGCTGCGATCTTTAATTATATCAGTGTTCGTTTGGCCTAAAAATGGCATCCCCTCAACATGAATCCCATTGACTTTCTTCCCATTTATCGTCTCGACCTTTTTGTAACCTCTCATGTTTGCATTCACCTTCAAGTTTCTTCTGCTACTGTAACCACTGATTCTTGGAGGACAGAAGTTCACATTTTTTGAAGGATTTATGCCAAAAAAATCCTTCTTTTTTGGGTCCGAAAAATTATACAAATCTTCCCAATAAGGGAGGGCAGCATTTTGCATCAGCGCCATTGTTGCTAATGGTAAAATTTCATTAATTTGTTTGCAGAAAAGAGTAAAAAGGAACAAATTTAAGCTAATGTTGAATTACTTGTGGAAAGGATTAGCTTATTCTAATGGTAGTAGGCAAACAACTTGTTGAAAATGATGTCAAAAGGGGAAATTCAAAGTTTAGAAGGATCGAAATTTTGAATTAAAATTAATTGACTTGTGAATAACGAGGAGCAAACGAGCTTTTGCAGGTGAACCACTTTTTGAGTGGGGGAGAAAATGGAGACCTCTCCATTCATCAGTGGCTTACACGGAAAAAGTGGAGACTTGTGTGGTTAAGTAACTTTGCATGGTCAACATATCATTGTGGATAATGTAAATTTGGAGAGACTCTTAGCGATATATTCTTTCTAAATTATATTAGACGGGGTTTGTTAAGAATTTAATTAAAATGAATTCTTGAATTGGGACCGGCTGAAATTGAAAATAAAAATATTAAAATCATCCATAGAATGATTATCAACTCACGTGACCTCTAATATATAATAGGCATAGAAAATAAAACTTTAATTTATGGAAATTGAATCAATTTCTTATTAAACTTTTATATATTATATAAATCAAATCAAAGCATCTCCAGCCATCATTTTATACATAAATAAAGAGTATTTTTAAATCTAAAGAGTAAATTTTTTGGATCACCCAATTTATAAAAATTAAAATTGAGATTGTATTAAAACTTAATTTCAAGAGGTAATTCTATAACATAGAGAGCATTTATTAAACTTTTGTCTCCGTTGCTCTAACCAAACCGCTCTACCAATTACTTTGTCAACTTCTCAAATAAAAAATGAGATTTCTCCGTAAAATGATATCTACCCATGCAATTTCATATAAAAAATTACTAAGCCTTGATTTGTAAAGACATGAAAGTCAAACATGAATTTCAACAAGGGGCGAACACAAGGAGGGTTTTGGGAGGTCACGTGACCCCCCAACTTTTGAGTATTTTTTAATTTTATTTTAATAAAAGCCCTGATTGATATGAATTAAAATTTAAATTTTAATATAAATCAAAATTAACAATTAATTTTAATAATATATTTCATAGAATTCATAAATTTTCAATTTTTTTTTATCAAAATTTACTGAAATTTGATTTTAATCTATATCAAACATGGACAAAATCACAATAGATTTAAACATTTTCATTTTTGGTTACACAAGTCTTCTTTTCTTTAAAAATTTGTCTATAATTTTTCTACAAATTATAACATTTACTTCACTTCCTAAACATATTTTGAACATAAATTTACATTTTCTCCTATCAAATTGTGTATATAGAATGAGTCTTAAATGATTATATCCAATTTGACTTATATTTAACAAATTGTATTTATTTGATTGAATATTAGTAGTGAATATTGGTTATAAATTTTTTTCTTTTTATTTGAATTGATTATTTGTATCAAATACATTATAAATTCTTTAAAAGCAAATATGCATTTTTTTGTAATGAACAAAATATTAATAAAAGGACTATTCGAAATTAAATGGATGAAAATGATGAACAAAATATTAATGAAGGAATGTATTTTTAAACTTAATTCTACGTTTTCTCGAGTCAAGTATGAATTATTCAAAAATCAAGAACAAAGTATTCGATCTATATAAGGTTTGATTGTGCAAGTCTGTGTTCGCCCCTGATTTCAACCACATATTTCATAATTACTACTTATTATTATCCAAAATTTCATAAAATTCACTATTATTTTCTTTTTTTATAAATTATTTATAAATTTATTGAACAGAGGCTAATTAAGACTATCGTGAAGAAACATGGTTGGTGAACATTGACAATTATATTTGCACACAAAGAAAGCCACAAGGCAACTTAGATACAAAGCGAGCGGCACCTTAATGACCATGCAAGCATTTAAGGGTCAACTTTAGGCAGCTCGATAAATTGAGACGCGATGTTATTGTACAAGAATTATGTGACTATAGTTGTGCACAACACAAACAAAAGACACCATGAGCAAGTGAATTATCCAAATGGTCCTTGAACTTTACAAAAAGTTTTCACGGGGTCACTGAATTTTAAAAATCACTCAATTCATCATTGAACTTTACAAAAAGTTTTCACTGGGTCACTAAACTTTAAAAATTGCTCCATTCATCACTGAACTTTGCAAAAGATTTCCACGGAATCACTAAACTTTGCAAAAAATTTTCCAGAGGTCACTGAACTTTTTGCAAAGTTCACTGATGAATTAGATGATTTTTAAAGTTCAGTGACCTCATGGAAATCTTTTGTAAAGTTTAGTATTGAATTGGATGATTTTTAAAGTTTAATTACCCTGTAGAAACTTTTTACAAAGTTCAGTGACTATTTGAGTAACTCACTCCACCATGAGCTTAATTACTTGTAGCAAGTAATAGAACACAATAACTTCATTAAAGTTTAGGGTGTACCAATTATTGTTAATGTTAACAATGAAGCAAGAATGCTCCCTTGTGCGCCATGAAAGAGGCATCCAATGAACCTGATCAATTGAGAGAGAGCATTAAATGCCATATCAAAGAGGCATCTATCATTGGATGCAAACACTGCTCTCCTGACCGACAAAGTTGCAAGGAAATGAGCACTGTATATGCAAATATTAATCGACACATTAAAACGTTATTGTTAAAAAAAATAATAATAATAATAAATAAATTGGTACAATGCCCCTATTTCGTGGAGATTAAAACCAGATTATTAGCAGATTTTAAAAAAAGTTGTTGAGACGTGTGGTTAAAAAGTTGTGAATTCTACAAAATGCGTGGTTAAAATTAGTTGTTGACTTTCACTTGAATTAAAATCTGAATTTTAATTTGTACCAAATAGGGACGGTATATCAGTGAGAGGTTAGACTACTCTTCAATCTTCATTCCTACTCTGTCAAAAATTTTCGAAAGACAGAATGGGCCGATGAAGAGGACGGGGCATGTAGGGATTAAAATAATTTACTTAATGTATGATTTAATTAATTATTATTTTTTTAAAAATATGATTAATTTAAAAATATAAAATTAAAAACAATAATTTTAGACAAATTTAGAGAATTCAGGAAGTGGCCATATTCTTCACGTCCTGCCAATTACTTAATGTGGATTCTTCGTCCTATTCAGAAAAAAAGAGTAATGCGGGACAAGTCGAGTTTTTTGTTAATTCCTAATCAATTTTTTTAATCCTAAGTGAAATTTTTTACTCTTCTTCTGAAGACACTAACGTGGCAGTCAGTATAAACAAATTAACAAGATCCACACTTCATGTCACCTTCTACATGGTCAAGGTGAGGCCACCAACAAGGTAGTCAAGGTGATGCTTCACTTCAACTTAGGTGCCATGTCGAGGACGACACTCCATGGCCGAGGCAAAGTGTTACGTCTGTTGCAAAAAAAGTCTGAGGTGATCAACCTCTTAATTGACAGAAAGCATCATCTTATGTTACCTTTTTCAAAGAAATTTTTCGTACAAGATCCACCTACTATTGATTGATGTAACATTTCTATGGAAGCACCTAAAAGGTCAAATAGTTAGTCTATATTTCAAAGGTCAAATTGAGCTTTAGAGTGGTCAATCGTCAGAAGCATTAAATGCTCGTTGCCTAGGATTGATTGAATGACACCTAAGAGAAAACCTCAGCCATCAAGATTAGGTCACGTAGTCACTTCATCCAACGATTATCATTTCTCCTACCATAAAACTTCACACATTGTGTCATTTGAACGTAATGCAATTCATTGTGTCATTTGAACGTAATGCAATTCTAACTCCCAAACGCTCTTTAAGATTGCTCTCTCATCTTTTTACATATATTCAAACACATTCCCGATGCTCAAGTACTTTTGTGACTTGTGTCTCTATTCAATATATTTCTTCTCGTCGATTGATTTTATTGTTGGAGTGTTTCCGAACCCCTTCCTCACTATGTGAAAAGATCACAATGACTTATGATTTGTCTAAATATATAGGAGAAAGATTTATGTGAATGCAAGTGGACTCAAAATCAGTTGACCACACGTTGGAGGTGAAAAAATTGAGGAAAACAAAATTAGTATTTTCGAGTTCCAAATATTTTCCACGTAAAAATTAAAAATTTTGATAGATAGATGGAGAGGGACAAATGGCAAACCGCTTTACTGTAAATACTACGTGTCATAAACTGTCCAAGCGGTGGTGCCACCGATACCTCCTTGTGTTATCCATGCACACCTATTCACACCGATATATATCCTTCTATTACCGAAGTTCACAATAATATTTCTCTAATTTCCTTTTCATTTTCAAATATTTGTCTCTCAACAAATGGAATTAATTCATACATTTCTAAACTTAGTAACGCCTCCATTTACCTTCTTCACCCTTTTGCTTCTCTTGCCACCATTTCAAATTTTGAAGTTCTTTCTCTCAATCTTGGGCTCCGTTTTCACAGAGGATGTTGCAGGGAAAGTTGTTATCATCACCGGTGCCTCCTCTGGCATCGGCGAGGTATGTGAAAACTTTTAAGATAAGGGTTCAAGAATATAGAGAATATATTCTATCAGCTGTTCAATTATGTCTAATATTGTGTACCAAACCTGAAATAAGTGATGACAATGTGTAAAAATACTGCAGCATCTTGCGTACGAGTATGCGAAGAGAGGAGCTCGTTTAGTTCTTGCTGCGAGGAGGGAGAGAAGTCTTCAAGAAGTAGCCGAAAGGGCACGGGATATCGGGGCACCGGATGTTGTAGTGGTTCGTGCTGATGTTTCGAAGGTTGAGGACTGCCGAAGGATAGTTGATCAAACTATGAATCACTTCGGTAGATGTAAGTAGCATTTAGTGCACTTATAATCAATGTTCTAAAGTAATGGGTGTCAATGCATTTCGATCAAACATTAAGCATTACAAATATATGCGTAATTAGGTGCTTTTCAAATTTTAATATTACAACACTTTCAAATTATTTGGTAATCAATTTCTACTATTAGATTAGACACGAATACCATTTTAAAAATCTTAAATCATGCCTAGCTCTTTATCAAATTTTAATTCAATCTTTTCTACGTCATTCAACTCATCTTCTGTGTCATCCAATGCGAAATTATTTTCATCAAGCTCTCTTATTTTAACTTGAGCATTTTTATTACCTCTTGTAGATGATAAATCCTCCTCATTATCAAGATTGTGCATTACTTGTAAAATTAGAGGAAAATCAAAGAAAAATGAGGCTCGGGGTCAATATAGATTGTTTGTAACTCTACAAAAAAATTGTTCTTATTTTTAATTTTTCTAAACGTCAAAACCCTACACCCTACAAATTGCTTTATATAATTCATGGGCTTGGAGGATTGGGTTAATTTGATGTTTGTTGGACTTAATTTACTCTTTTAAGATAAAAATGGGTTGGACTTTGATGCAATTTTGAATATAAATGCATGCGCATTTTGACATTTAAGCGTGCATATACGGTCTATATATATATATATATATATATATATATATTCCGCTTGGCGCCTTGGCCAAACATTATCGTCTTTAGGTAAGTTTACTAGCTAGAAAACAAACAAAATTTATAAATTCTTGCTATTAATATGGTTTTTTTTTTTTTTCCCTCCCACGGTTTATGCAGTGGATCATTTGGTTAATAATGCTGGAGTTATGTCAGTGTCTACGCTGGAAGAGGCTGAAGATGTCACTGATTTCAAAGCAATCATGGTAAGACCTAAGGCTAAAATCCGAGTTCAACTCAAATTCGGAATTTTGTTCTTTTTTGTCAGTTAGATAGATTCATGCATGGACCAGATTTTTAATAACGGAATCTTTTAATATATGTTGTCGAGGATTACCTGCAAATCAAATTCAACGGGCATACCATTTAACTTGGTCACTAGAATTAATATCCCGCTCCTGCACATAAGATATATAAGCTCTTCATTTTTTATCGTTCCTTAGTGCAGAAACATTGTCAGAATATTCAATATTGCTTGTTTGTTGTGTACTAAGAATTTGTTCTTTAAAGAGTGACACGAAATTTTAGCATTGATGAAATAAGTGACAATTTTCATTTGTCGTGGTCCACAACATATGCTGTAATAAGAATGTGATTTGCGCCATTAGAGACGCACCAAATTTCAGTCCATGCTAGTTCTGGACTCTAAAACGTATGGTTTGATCTAACAGGATATCAACTTCTGGGGTTACGCCTACATGACAAAATTTGCAGCTCCTTACCTCAGAAACAGCCAGGGTCGAATAGTTGTGCTTTCTTCATCTGCATCTTGGTTGCCAGGACCGAGAATGAGTTTCTACAATGTAATTAAGCATTTGTGTTTCTATTATTCAATTTTTGTAGGCATTAGTGTAAATTTTGTGTCGTGACACCAGGCGAGCAAAGCGGCAGTTGCACAGTTTTTCGAGACACTGAGGATCGAGTTCGGGCCCGACATTGGGATTACTCTCGTCATGCCTGGGTTCATAGAATCCGAACTTACACAAGGCAAATTCGTAAGTAAAGCTGGAAAAGTTGAAGTTGATCAGGATATGAGAGATGTAAGTTCTTTGACTATCATCCTATGATGTTCAACTTTAGTACATAGTACTTAGCTATAGGCCCAGTCGAATGAAATGATGCCCAAAATTTATCTTTTTTATTTGAAATAATGTTATTTAGCATTAGTAATGCTCGAACATCTAAACAGGTAACTACACTTTTTAAATGAATTATTTAATGTCAAATAATTGTCGCATAGACTGTGCTTTAAATGAATCTATCATTTAATGCAATTAAGTTGTCATCTAAACTGTGCTTAAAATTAGGAGTAATGCTAGCATTATTCTAAAGTCCACGGTGATCGATGCATTTATTTGTTTTCTTTTCAAATAATCTTGTTATTATTGAACTAGGTTCAAGTGAATATAAACCCTATCCAGAGAGTTGAGAGCTGCGCGAAGGCAATTGTTAACAGTGCTTGCCGGGGAGAAAGATACCTGACTGTGCCAGCATGGTTTAGGGTCAGTTTCTTCTGGAAGACTTTCTGCCCAGAGGTCCTTGAGTGGTTGTACAGATTGTTATATATCACCAGCCCCGGGAACTCATCGAAAGAGGCATTTGGCAAGAAGTTAGTCGATCTCACAGGAGCAAAGGCGGTTCTCTATCCTGAAACTGTCCAAACACCAGAAACAAAGAAGGATTAAGGTTGTACTGGAAATGGTTTTCTGATGTTCATAAGTTTTGAGTTTATGTCGAGTTGCTTTTGTCTTCTGTTGGTAACACTGATGTACCTAACAAATATGGTTTGTACATTAAGTTTGGTTTGAATAAACTTGAACTGTTGTGTGGAATGATGATTGGAGTAAAATTTTGTCAAAAGTGCTATGATCTTTTTAGAGTACTGGTATATCAAAACTGGTTGGGCCATGTGTTGTGGGAGGTCATGCTACATAGGACTTTTGGGGCTCGAGTCTAATTCTAGAGATCTTGCTATATGTACATTATAATGTGTTATAGAATATCACATAACACTATATTATTTGACAGTTTAAAATACAATCAATTTTTTTATTCATACATTTTATTACAAATTATTTTTTCACACTTTTTCGATTTATTTCGTATAATATAAAATAATATAATAAGTAGTGGATAAAAAAAAAACACAAAAAAAGGGGGAATTTTATTGATTAAATACAACGAACTTCTAAAATTTTTTAATTTAGCTGAGATACTCAAATAAATAGAGTAATAGAAAGTATTTGTACGATATTTAGATCTAGTCGACCAAAATATATATCATCCAGAAAGTTGAGTGATTCCCCCTTTCTTCTAAGTTGGAAAGTACCCATGGATACTGTCAAGTAACAGGTATTCTGAATCAATCAATGAAATTCATGTCATTTTTTGGTAAGAAGAATTTTGTGGGACTAAATTTTTGAATAAAATGCAATATTCAAATATTAATATTATAATTAAATAATAAAGTTAAAAATATTTTAAATGATCAAATAAGGACATGTTTGGTATTGATTCTTATAATAAATTTTTTAACCGTTAAAAAGAAAAGTGGATCCCAACTATTAGTGAAGAAGTTAAAAATGACGGCTGACCATTTAAATAACAATCAAAAAATTGATTTTTTGACTTGAAAATTCAAAATCAAACGGGATTAAATAACACTATGAAAACATTTTGATTATTTCACAAGTTACGTTTGCTTTCATATAGCGGCAAAGTCGAGAGCATTAAATTGTGCATTGGGAAAAGTGTCAACTGCGATTGGTAGGAAGAGTCGCATTTCCTGCTCGGAAATATTATTATATTTTTAATGCGACTCCTTAATATTTTTATATTTTTATGTCGTGTATTTATAAAAAGAATGTGGTGTGAATATAACTCCTTTATGTAATTGTCATATTCATTTATTTTAATTTTGAATTACACTCTTTGAAAAGAAGTAAAATGGTAGAAACAATTATCTTGTATTTCTCATTGATCAGTATGCTTTATATAGTTGTACATGGACATGGTTTACATGAAAATAAAATCATCTATACAAAATTCTGGGAGATGACTAAAATCATGGGAGCTAAAGTTTAGCTAAACTTGTGGGATTTCTATATTCTGTAATACTGAAATCATGGGAGCTAAACTTGTGGGATTTCTATGTGCTGTAATACGCCCCCTCAAGTTGGTGCATGAAGATCCGTAATGCCCAACTTGCGAGAGAAGTGATGAAAGAGATCAGATCCTAATGCTTTGGTGAAGATGTCGGCAATCTACTCGGCAGATGGAAGATGAGCAATGGTGAAGAGACCAGAATGGAGTTTGTTACGAATGATGTGACAGTCTATCTCAATATGCTTTGTTCGTTCATGGAAAACTGGATTCTGAGCAATATGAAGGGCAGACTGATTGTCACAATAGAAGATCATTGGGTCATTGTGTGAGATGCCAATGTCATGGAGAAGCTGTTTTAACCAAATTAGTTCACATGCTGTGACAGGCATAGCACGATATTCAGCTTTTGTAGAGGAGCGGGCCACTGTAGTTTGTTTCTTAGTGCGCCAAGAAATGGGACTGGAACCAAGTGTGATGAAGAAGCCAATGGTAGAGCGTCGAGTGGTAGGACAACTGGCCCAATCAGAATCTGTGTAAGCATGAACATGAAGATTATTAGAGGAAGAGAAAAAAATGCCTTGTCTAGCGGAGGACACGTGTTGCATCTGTCATGTGAGAGGTCCGAGGCGCATGCATGAATTGGCTAAGAATGTTTACTGCAAAGACGATATCAGGTCTGGTGATGGTGAGGTAAATGAGGCGTCCCACTATCCGTCGGTAAGAAGCGGGATCAAGAAGAAGGTTACCATCTGTGTCATTGAGTTTTAGATTTTGTTCCATAGGAAAAGGTCCAGGACGAGAACCTAGCTGGCCACTATCGACGAGGATGTCCAGGGCATATTTTCCTTGATTAAGAAAAATGCCAGAGGGAGATCGTGCAACTTCAAGGCCAAGAAAATATTTGAGAGGGTCGAGATCCTTGGTTTTGAAGTTGCTGGAAAGAACGCTCTTGAAGAAGATAACCTGAGAAAGATCATTGCCAACAACCAAGATATCATCAATGTAAACAAGGATAATAGTGAGACTGGTTGCAGTGATCAAGGTAAATAGGGAGTGGTCTGCTTGTGACTGAACGAAACCTGCATTAAGAAGAACAGATGTTAGTTTAAAAAACCAGTTCCGAGAAGCTTGTTTGAGGTCATAGAGTGACTTTCGAAGGCGGCAAACTCGTGTCTCCCCTTTAACACAGTAGCCGGGTGGTGGGATCATGTAAATTTCCTCATCAAGTGTACTGTGTAGGAAGGCATTATGGACATCCATTTGGTGGATGACCCAATTTTTGGTGGCGGCAATAGCAAGGACACAGCGTACTGTGGTCATTTTGGCAACTGGGGCAAAAGTTTCATGATAGTCAATTCCCTCTAATTGAGTGTAGCCTTTGGCTACAAGTCGGGCCTTGTATCGTTCAATAGTGCCATCTG